GACCCAAGGTAGAGAACCACTGGCCTAGTAGAAGGTTCTCAATGCAGCTGTGATCACAAAGGTGTGGATGGTCTCCCACAGGTAATTTGAATTATGTGGAGATTTTTGTTAGGATCACTCAGGAGAGGGAGAGGCTTCTCTGTTACTAAGTAACAATCTTGGAGGAAAGCAGGAAGTTGGGGAAGAGTCTGTAACCTGCCGGCAAATCCTAACCCATCCCATTGGACAGAGCAGGGGCATGTACAACTTCCAGTGAGCTACATATTAAGTTGTACGTGGGTGCATACAATGTATGTGGGTGCATGCACAATTGGCACCACATGCATCTTTGAATAACAAAAAGGTGCTCACCCCAAACTAGCAGTTGGTAAGTTCCTAGCTATTTTCCTAATAGTGAGAAGACTTTGGGAAGATGGGCTCTGAAGATTTTGTTGACCCTGGGGAAGTCATTCTCTGGGCTTATCTGTTCAATGTGGGCTTGATCAGATGGGCATTTGTCCTGCGCTTTGATGTGCTGAGGGGCAGGTTTGCTCTTCTTTCCAGTCATCAGACAACATAATTGCTAGAGTGAACCAATTCATCCCCGGAGTGCCCCTCCCCACACTTTTCTGAGCCCCTGTTATGGGTTTCTACTCTTTCGATGAGGGTAGGTTCGCTCCACTTTGGTACATTTCCAATTTGTATGATTGCTGGGAATAGACAAATTTGTATGATTGCTGGGAATAGACAAAGAAGTGAGCCTTAAGCCATTAAAGTTCCTTCCACTGTCAGTTTCCAGCATCTTTCTGTGGTTTAATAAGCAAGCCACTTCAGAATATTGGAAAATTGAATACTTCCCCTGCTCCTTGGCAGAGGAGCAGAGGGAGTGAATTTTTTTTTACTCTGCTATGTATTGAATCACTTAGACTAATTTTTTAAAAAACAGTATTTTCTTGTTTGAAGTGCTGATTAAGAAACTACTCACAGCTAAATCCATGGCAAGGCAGATTTAAAATACAAACAACATCCAACTGGGGAGTAACTCATTTTTCAGCTAGGTTTCTGATGGAGTTAAGTCTTTCTTCACCCTCTTCTCCTGTTGTCTCTGCTGTGAACACTTTTTAAAAATCCAAGCACTACCCCACCTCCAAAGAGGGGAAATAAAATAAAAAATAGACCTCTCTCTTCAGTAAAGCAGGTTTAACATTCAAACAACATCCAGTTGAGAAAAAGTTGCTGACAATACAGCTAGGTTTCTGTAATCCTTTCTTCTGCCTTCATCTGTTGTCTCTGCCCTCAATGGTTTTTATTTTTGTCATGTTCAATTCAATTCTACCAATTTTTCCAAAGAAATAAACAAAGAACATTGTTTCCTCTCTGAACTCATTTTAGACTACAGGGGCATGACTTTTGTATTTTTGAAAACTGGACAAATTTTAGTTCCTGTGTAGTTTCTCATCCCAAAACTAACTTGGAAAAGTACATTATTGAATGGATCAATCTAAATGCCATAGCTAACTTCTAATAACCCTTTCTAGCCTTATTTATGCTTATCCAAGAGGGAATAATTTTCCTGTGTAGACACACCCACACTTTGCTAGCTCCAGTGTTATAGCTTTCCCCCAACAATGCCTCTATAAGTGGTCTGAGATTTCGCTAGAAAAATGCTTGTTGTGTATGTAGAAGCAATGCACCCTTAAGAAGAAAAATGATCTGTTTATTCTGACACTCACTTTCCTCAATCCAAATTTGGAAATTTAGCTCGCTTTTGTTTTTTAACTGTTCAAAGGGGAGATAGCATGGCTTTGTCTGCATGGCCAATATCTTAAACAATCAGTACTGAAAGATTTTAAAAAGAAATATATGTTAAAGATTGTATTACTTGGATGGATAAAGTTGGGAAAGGGAAGTACAGTGGTGGCTCACAAGACGATTTTAATTCATTCCGCAAAAATTGTCATATTGCGAAAAAATTGTCTTGCGATGTTCCCTATGGGAACCTCGCAAGAGAATGAAATTTATTCATCTTGCGAGGCATCGGTCTTGGGGGGGAAAAAGTCTTGTGAAGCACAGCCATAGGAAAAAAAAGTCTTGCGAGGCACCATAGGGGATTGCAAAACCAATCGTCTTGCGGGTTCTTCGTTCCCCAAGGCAATTGTCTTGCAAAGCACCACTTTAATATACTTTTGTTTTAAAATAAAAGAGGTTTCTTGCACCCCTTACAACACTTTAGTTCCCAGAGAGAGCCAGTCAGATATATCACACTCAGACTTCATTAAATTAGGATGCAGATATGGAATCATCTTAGTAATTGTTGGTCAGCACATACTAAAAGTATTCACAGTCATGTAAAGGTACAACTACATCACTGAATTAATTTGGGAGCTGGTTTTGATTTTTAGAAATTGATTTAACGTCATGCAGTTTTTGTGTCCTCGTGGAACAACTCAAATCCTCACTCACTGCTCTTTTCCTTTGCCATGAGAGCGGGTGCCTCTTTATGGTCCTTTCAGTTGTTTTCCCTATTTGGAGGTTAAAGAGCAACAAGAGTGTGCATAGTGGCAGGAAGGAGGGGAAAAAGCAGTGGTTGGGCTGGGCAAGGAAACACGATAGTGGGAAGGAATGGAAAAAGCAGCAAGGCTGAATGGGCAGCTTAAGGAGGCATGTAGTGGCAACAGAAAAGTGGGGGAAGAGTGGTGTGGTACGGAGGTGCCAGGCAGCAGCTAGGCAAAATGATAGCCCCCAGTAGTGGTGCTGGCAGGAGCAGCATCCATTGCCAGAAGAGGAGGTGGGTGGGTGAGAAGGTGGAGCAGCAGGGTTGAAGTCTGGGAAGGCACACCTAGTTTTAATTCTTTACCTCAAACAATTGTCCCCCAGGTTTCAGCATCGCTTGGCATCTATCCACTGGTAGTCCTGATTAGATGTGTTCACTCTGCTTGGTAAAACTCAAGCAGCTATTTTAGACGACAGGCGGGAAGGGGAACATCACTCAGTTGATGCCATTTTAAAAAATATTTTGAAGTGGCATCATGATTGATCAATGCAGTGCAAAAATAGAAATGAGGGAAGGGCTTCTACTTTGACTGCCATGCATATACAAAGTCTATTTTGCACCGGGATGCCTTGAAATAGACCTTGTTGCATCATCGTATCCATTTGCTCAAAAGAAATACGAGTGAAGACCGTACATAAATCTTTTGTGATTTCCAAGCCCCGGTCATACCTGACTTGCCTATGATCCCGACTGAAGTCACCTGCACTGTCCTGGACTTCGGTGTTTTGTACATAAACTCCAAAGCTCAGGCTAAGTGTAAACCAACATGTTGAAGCTAACAAGACAAAATTCCCTCCTTATGAGAATGTGGTAAAACTGTGTACCGCCACTGTGATATGTTGGAATTACAGTATTCGACACATAAGAAAAATAGAGTGAGAAAGAGGTACATAAGATGAACTCTAGGAAATCCCTGAATAGTCTTCTGAGTAGGGGGGAGGATTTCTATGATGTGTCATATTTTCTTTTGCAACCTATGTTTGAGGTTATGGGTAGGGTTTGAACATGTTTATGATTAATCTGGTGAGAAAGGCCAGATTGCCCATAAACATGTTTGAACATGCTTATGGGTTCAAATGCAGGTTGCAGAGAATATGTGAAGTGTCATAGAAATCCTCTCCCTACTTTTGAGCATAAAGGGAAGCTTATATCACCTGTGTTCTTTGTTCACATCCTCTATTACCTCTCCTATGTGTCTCCATGTACAGTATTTATTTATTGTATTTATTTCCATGCTTTGGAGATAGTTGTTAATGAAGGCATAGAGTGAGAGCTGTTGCCAATCAGTGTCAACAACATTGAGCGGAAGGAACCAAAGATCTTACTCAGTAGGATGCCATTGCCTATTCAAGGTCTTAGAACAGTGTCATAAACCTCCTTGTATCGTCCTGTTTCAGTATGTCCCATAACATTCCAGATCTGTTGGGACATGGTTTTATGTTCTTCTCTTGTTTAATAAGTCATGTCTAGTTGTCTTGTTCTTTGCAAGGCCTGATGATGTGAGTCTCAGGATGGCTTTCGTGTCACTCCCAGTCCCAGCAATATCCCCATCTGATCTGCCTCAGCTGGAAGAGTGGGAGATGCTACTCGAAGTAGATAGGGAGCACCGAGGTGCAATGATGACTGTGTTGCTCTCAGCAACATATGAGCAAAGCCTACGATCCAGAACTGGGCATTTGAAACTGAACAAGGCACCCACCAAGTCATTGTTGATTTTCAGTATTTTGGACTTCATCATTCAAAAATTCAGGAGCAAATCATGCATCTTCAGTATTACACGCACACACACACACATTTCAAAGAGAGTTTGCGGAAAGAGGCCAGGGAGGTAGCAAAAAGGCCTATTAGGAAGACTGTACACAAGTTGTATTAATTTCATATAGATTTGCAAATACTGTTGACATTGTTCAATAAAAGCATGGCAACTTATACATGAATGAATTCTCTCCACATACTTATACATGAATGAACCCACCCCCACATACACCTTCTTTCTTTCTCATTTTGTTTTGTATCACCATTCTTTGAGTTTGGTCTGTTATAACAAAAGATTGTAACAGAGGCATTTTCATTATTTTACAGTATTTATTTATTTAAAATATTTTTGCCCTACCTTTCACTTTAAAAAGGAACTAAGGCAGCTTGCATAATAATTAAAAGACAACATTTAAAGCTAAAACAATAAATACACAAATACAAAAAAGGAAACACTACTCTGAGAAACTGTAAACAAAAGCAATATTAAAACGCATTCAAAGCAGTAAAGCACGACAATTCATTTAAGTTTTTTGATTTAACAATCCTTTTAGATTTAATTTTGGCAATTTAATTTAATTTTAAGTTTAACAATCCATTTAATTTTTGTCTCACTTCTCTCCACAATGATATATCATCTATAACATTTTAGAAGGTTTGATTAAAAAAAAAAAAATTAAGGTATCCAGTGATCTGCTTTTCTCCATTGCAGAATATTGGGAAAAAGATGTCCTGCCAACAGTTTACAGCAAATCTGGATGGACTGAATGATGGAAAAGATTTTTCAAAAGATCTGCTAAAGGTAATGTTATATCCAGAAAAGGAGAATGCAGCAGTTAGAGAGCCTCACTGCTATGGTTGGAAACACAGGTATCCATTGCTGAGGCACCAAAACTAAATGATTAAAATGAACTATGGCTGCTCTCCTGCCCTCTGCTGGTACACCTCTTGTGGCACTAACCACCATCCCTGAGTCACTACACTTTATTCTACAAACACAAGAACGTTTGGGGTTTTTACAAAGCTACAGTAAATGTGTTTTGCAGCTGTGATTAATTTCAATTATTCAACAAGATTAGAATCAAAGGGAGGAATTGCTGCAAACTAATGTATTAAATGATAAGACAAATGGTTTTGAACTGAAAAGCTGAAATATGGGTCAAAGATGATTTTGAAATATATTTATTTGCTATAATCTAAAGATGTATTTAGAACACTGAGCTGGGGCAATGGACATAGTTCAAATCATGCACAGAGTTAATCACTGGATGATATTAGGCCAAACCATCTCTCCCTCCCTCCCTCCCTCCCTGCCTCTCTCTCTCTCTCTCTCTCTCTCTCTCTCCTCTCTCTCTCAGTGTAACCTTCCTGACAGGGTTGTTGTTGTCATGAGGATAAATGGGAAGGAAGAAAAACGATGCATCACCTTCAGCTCACTGAGGGGAAAAGGATATAAATAAAAATACAACTTATTTATTCAAATAATAAAATAATGTTGGGCACTGCAACAGTAAATAATATAATCTATATGTAAACAGGACATCCTAATCAGATGCTGAATCTTCAAAATTTGAAAAATTTAGGAAAACCTGAGTCTTCAGCTTCTCTGATATGGGAATTTCCATGTTTCTGGGCACATCCTTCCACTCAGGATATAAACAATGATTTTATCTCCCCGGAGGTGAAACCTGACATCAACACATCTCAGATTGATTCTTGTATTTTCAGTTTCTAAAGAAATCGGTTTTATTGCAGATCTAGCACCTTCAGCATATCTAACGAGAAAGATTTCTGGACTTTCCTGTTTCTTATGCTCTGCATTGCCCAGCCTGGTGAGAAGTAAAGGAACCTAATAGAAAGGGGAGGGAGGAAGATGAGATTGTGATAGACAGATAAAAGAAATGCAAGAGAAGAGTTTATGGTAGAGTGGGCGAGAAACGCCATTTTCAAAAATTTATGCAGCTATTTCCTTCTCTCCAAAACTCAGAACAAAAGGGCAGGGAGAGAAGATAAACATTAACTGGATTTTTTTAACTTTCATTCTTGTAAGGCTTTTAGCATAGTAACATAAATTTAAACACCCATTTAAAAATACTTCCCCCTTTCAACATAAACATATTTTGATTAGGTTTTTCCAGAGTATTAATGATCAACTTATTATGTGACCCTTTCCTGCTAACATTGCCATCTCTGCATATGCGTCAGGTTTACAGATCTGGTCCATTACGAAAGAAGGAGAGGCCATTTAAGCTAGGTAACATTATTTTTAAAGTTTTTTTTTTAATTGCATTGCTGGATTTCTCAAAACCAGAACTGTGAAGACTGAATCTCAGGGTAACATTTTGAAAGACACATCCATTCTGGAAAGAGAAAAAGAAATTCCAAAAATCTAAGGATAATAGAGAAGAGAAACACAAAAAACAAGAAGACCTCTTTATGGTTAAGTCTATGACAGAGGGAGATGGAGGAGCTTTTTAAAGCCATTTCCCACCCAGGGCCAGTTCTGGCATTAGGGAAAGGGAGGAAGCCATTTCAGTGGCAGATGCTGAAGGAGAGGGAGAAGAATCCCTGAGGCGCTGGAGGATAGAGTTGCATGAGCTGCTCTAACTTCTAAACCTGCTGCCCTCATGTGAAATGAAGGATGCTACCGCATTGCTGTTAATGTAAGATCCAGCTCTCAGTCTGGTTCTCCCAGATCCCAGCTTTTGTACTTGAAATCGTGGACAAGGAACAATGCCATCTTGCCCTTTGTCGTAAACAGCAAATTTCTTGAATTACTCCCAAATCCTAACAAACCAATTTAAAGAGGATCGTTGTGAGGATCCAGTATCATACCAGTCATGGATGGATACCATCTAAAGTAAGGAATAAGAATATTCTGTGAATCTGGTAACTGTAATAATTGGCTCTGTGTTCTTTGTTACAGGCCCTGTATAACTCAATTAAAAATGAAAAGCTAGAATGGGCTATGTAAGTATATTTAAGTATATGTGGACATATATGCATGCGTAAGGGTACTGTCTCCATTAAGGAAGGAGTTGACATTTCTTGGATTTTGTTTCAGATGAAAAAAAATAATATCAGAAATCCACTTATTTTATGGTATGAGCTAAACAATTTTAAGACATAGTCATAAACTTTGCTCCCAATAGTAAACAGAAACGTTAAGAGCCGATCTACAGAACAATTTTGCTATGCTCAGCTGAACAGAAAGAGAAAGGAAACATTGTTCAGAAAAGCAGGTATTGTTGAGTGTTTACTATATCTGTTTTGGGCCACAGCAATCCCTCACACACAACACAGAAATTTAAGTAGCGGAAGATGCAGTTATTTCTTTTAACGCTGCTTCAAACACAAATCCATTTGCCATTCAAAACTAGTGTAGGCCACTAAATCAATGGCACTTACAAAGGAGTTGACTCACCAAATGCCCATTGATTTAGTGGGCCTACTCTAGTTGCAACTTACTAAAGGATTTCAGGCAGAATCATTTTAATTGATTTGAATCTGCAGTTACTCTTCAGTTGTTACTGCGGCATTTTTGATACAACATTTCTTGACATTTTGTGCATTTTGGTGGCCATTTCCTGGAGACTTGAGAGGAAAGAGTATCCATATATAAATCAGCTATTTAATTTTAAACATATATTCATTAAAAGTGATATGTTTGAATATGGTATTTTACTTATTTTCCATACCACCCACAAAACTGTAGCACATCATTTAGGTTGAGAGATATTGAATGATACCGTTGCAGTTTCTTGGGTTTTGGTTTGGAAAAGTAACTTGTGGGCTCAGTTTGCAGTCACTGAAAAGAAGAGGCAGAGTTCCAACTTCTTTTCTGGGTTTTATGTAACTCAAGCTATAAAAGATACCCCCCTTACACTTTACTCTTATATCAACTGGTTTTGCCCAGTTGCTTTCAGCAGTGGGTTGCTATTTGTTCCCTACTAGCTGATCTGGGGCTGTAGTATCTTTAAATCTCCTCAATAAAATAAATTCATATTGGATTGAACTGGAAATAAGAGCTTTCCCCCAATGATTCACAAATAAGTTTGGCTTATTTCAGAGCTATTTCAAGGCAAACGTATCCTAACCTGCAAAAACTATTCAATTACAAAAACATTTCCACTGCATACGGTCTTTTCCAATAATGATTTCCACACCCCTCTTTTACTTTTCAGCTATGTTTTTCTCCATGTTTTTCTTCAACCACCTTGGAAAACAGGTGGGAATGGGAGAGGGATATGCTGGCTTGCTCACCCTTTCTCACATACTGCCTTTTTAAAGTCATTATTAAATTATGGCCATGTCAAGAACATCAAAGGAATCCTGCACACTTAAAACTAGGCTTGCCAAGTTCAAAAATGAACCAAAATTCTTGTAGGTCTGAGACTGTCAATTCAAGGGGACTGTCTGGGCACCCAAAATAAAGAGATTTTAAAAAGAAGCAACAGCTGAGCGGTGGGATGATGTTCTTTCTTGCTTTTGTGGCAACTGGCCTCAATTTTCCAGTCACCTGGCCATGCATTTCCCATCTCATCCTTCGGGGATATTTGTTCCCATGCCTGACCTATCAAACCAGCAGCACCTCATCAGCCAGGTATGGCAACTCCCCGAAGGCTTAAGAAGCCTGTGTTTTGTTGGCTGACTTGGGAAGCCTCAGTTTCCCATCAGGAGCTGTTAGCGCCTTCTGACCTGATGGGCTACAGGTTGTGCAGGTCACAACTAAAGGAACGGAGTAAAATTTACTGACGCCACCTGAGCTTGGAGGAAATCCAGATGGTTGGGTAAGACATTTTATGGATGTCTGATTTTAAATGTTCAGCAAATAGGAGAAATGACAGAAAAACTCCCTTCTGGGGTAGATGTCAAAATCTAGGCTTATTCCTGATATCTGTTTTATTTCAGGAAAATACAGGAGCTCACATCTCTCTAAAACATTAATTAAAAGAATCCACTGGAGGGAGCCATGGATTTGGCTGTGTATAAATCTTGGGCATTTGGGGAGAAATTATATAAGGGAGTTCAGAGAAAGGGCATCTGAGCATCAGGTTAAATGAATCAACACAGACAAGGATAGTAAGAAATGCCATCCTAAAAATACATGAGGCAAGTGAGTGACTCATTCACATTTTAAGGAAAGAATATGATTTCTGGAATGGAGAATTTCTCCTGTAAAGGATAATAAAACAAGACACTGTGCAATACTTTTCAGCAGTTGAGCTTTTAGAAGTGAGCTCTCTTGCCAGATGGTGGGAGTCGTTGTCTTCCTGCTGTCAGATACTGTCCAGGATGAACATACATGAGCCACAATATGCACTCTGCAGATATTAAGAACAAGCATTGTCTTAATCAACCTTTAAGCTGTGGACCCTTCTGTCAGCTCCCTTTTGGTGGCTGCACACTTTATAGAAAAACATTCTAAAACAAAAACACAAACTTAGTTCTTGCTTCTATGATTCGACTGGTGTAACATATAAAGGAGGACATTATGCATTTTCAACAGCGGGGATGGGTGACCACTGATTTTGAGTGGCACATCTTTTCATGGGAGAAAACAGAACTGGATCACACTACTCCATAATGGGCAAAACCGCCTAAGCAAGGTGCAGAGCTAGTCAACTTTCTAGACTAGCAGTCTGAACAGGAGAGATTTCAGCTGTAGATCTGGTCTAGCTCAGAGCTGTTCAGCTTAGTATATATCAGCACAGTTTTTGGCAGAAGCTGGAAAAGAGGGAAACAATAGAGATATGGAGAATTTTTTTTAAAGCTCTGGAAATAGCCCCAAAGCCCAATTATTCTCCCTTCTGCAGTGGTTTCTTCCCTACCAAGAGCTTAAACTTTGGTGAGATACCGGTTGTAATGGAGAACTCCTGTCATCACCTTGTTGACTGCCAAAGTTTCTTTATGGAAATCTTATTCAAGGTTTCTGGCCAGACTATCTGCAGTACTGGTGGAAGCAATTGTGGGCAATAAGTGGTGATTATAATTTTGATCTATTTGCAGGGGAGGGGAGCTGCTTCTGGTGGTTCCATCCTGAAAAGTCTAAGCTCCTGCCACAGAGGACTTCCTTAATTCTATGCAGTCTGAGGGTAGGGATTGGCCTTTGCTCCCCTGCAAAGGGTTTCCTGGGTGCAGACCCAAGATGAATGGACAGAGACAATGCATCTCCACCCTTTTCCCGGGTGGCTACATTCCAGGGTTGCTTGCAAAAAAGAAAGCAGCTGCTGGGAAGCCACCACCATTCTCCAGACTATAGTTAAAGTGACATTTTGACAGCAACAGATGTTAGTGCTGATCCCTGGGACCTGCTTTCCTCCCCTAAAAATGCACAGCATTTCCAAAGAATGACGCTTCACTTTCAGTGCCATTCAGCTGAATTTGTCTGCTTCTTTGGTTTTGTTTCCAAGTGATGAAGATGAACTGAGAAAGTCATTGTCAGAACTGGTGGATGATAAAGTTGGTGCCAGTGCCAAGAAAATGACAAGAATAGTGGATGGCAGTAATCCTTTCCTGGATGTTCCCCAGGCCCAGAATGCTGTTACCTACAAGCATGGCATCCTGACGCGGAAGACACACGCTGATATGGACGGGAAAAGAAGTAGGTGTATGAGCGGGACATGGGAGAAAGGCAAGGGAAGCACAATGGAGGGGCAGAAAGGCTCTTGAAAGGATAGCCCCCGGCCCCTGTTCTTCCGTGATGCAAATTGCAAATAAAAATGGAAGATACCCTCTTTGTTTCATCTTTTTTTAAAATGTGGCTGCATGAAAACTGCTTTATTTTGGTTTCTTCCCACTGTACTCTAGTGACTTTTAGATCCAAATATGCATTTGGTTCCTTTTTGTTGTGTATAGGCATCAGCCCAGAGGGAGTATGGAAGCTTATCTAACTTTCTTTAGAAACCAAAGGTTAAAACAAGAACAAAGCTGCAAACACAACAAAGCAGGCCCACAATTAAAAATTTAAGAGAGCTTCCATTCTTTTTCTAGACCTAACTAGAAACTGATCCTTAAAGGGACACATGTTTAAACAAGTGTTCCAGAGACCGGTGGTTTTCATCCTCCTGCTCCCCCTGATATTCTGGATTTCATCTCCCAGAAGCCTTAGACTGGCACTGCTCAACTCCAAAGCATCAGAAAGCCTGAGGGTTGAGAAACACTGCCATATACCACATGTACAACAGGATCTCTCCAGACAATGTTTAGGGTACATGATCCTCCTGTTTTCCATCAAAATGATTCCTGGATATTATGTGGGAAGAAGTTAAGGGGCTCTTAATCACACAGAGCCTAGTGCTAGATTAAAGGGGTGACCTCTTGGCCAGGATGCCTATGGCAAATATTCCTTAAATTGCACACACACTCCATGCACATTTTAATGGTAATAATCATGTTTTGTCAAGTCTATTCTAACTTATGGTGACCCTTTTCAGGTCTTTCCCAGGTAGAGAATACTCTACTCCAAGGCCACACAGGCTGGCTTTTCTCCCTAGAGGCACAGATGCACATGTTGGCTCCAGAATAAAATAATGCACCACATTTTAATTCCTGAGGATTTGGAACATGGTGGGTCAAGAAGCAGGGATTTAGCATTTGACTTCTGTCTTAGGTTTGAGACTATAGATTTAAGAGAGTTAAGAGGTTACTTCCTACTTTGATGTAAATAACAATCTGCATGTTTTAGCAGTGTGTGTATGTATCATAGAGAGGGAGCACCATATTTATTTTTCCTGCCTCATCAATTATGTTCTTCTAAGTCTGCAGGATTCACTGTCTTTTCCATTCCTCACCCCTTCCTATCATGAACCAAGAGCTGGGGTGGCCTCTTATTATATATACCTGCATTTGCATGAAGACACAAAACTGATCCTTTCCCAGCAACTAATATATTCAAACTATTCAGTGTGAATATATTCCCTTTTTTAAAATATTGTTTCAGAAGCTGCCCTCATCTATTGTGCTTGAACAGTGCTGAGGAGTGCCTTGCTTTGGGTGGCGGGAATGACATGGTGCAGAAGACTACACTTCTCTTCCTCTCTCACACACACAAAGGAGCCTTGCCCTCCTTTCCTCTCAAACCCTCACAGGCAAGGATATATGGAAATCAATGGGGCTGTGTTGTGGGCTGCTATCCTTTACTCCTACTTGTCCTCACTATCTAAGTTGTAGATTAACTTAGACATAATGTTGTTATAAGAGCTTGGAAATAATTCATTTAATATTAATTCTTTACACCTTACTAAGCTGCTACTTACATGATTAAACAGCAGTGATGATGATGACAACAACAATGATAATGATAATAATGATAATTTTAGAACTGCAGAGCTGGAAGGGGACTCTGTGGATCATCAAGCCCAGCCCTTGTCAAGGAGCCACAGTGAGGAATCAAATCTCCAACTTCTGACTCTGAAACCAAGTATCTAACCCACTGAGTTATCCAGCCTTTTAAACAACATACCGTATTTTCCATGTATAAGACTATACTTTTGTCTAAAAACTTTAGACTAAAAATTGAGTGTCATCTTATACACGGAAGTAAGCTGAGGAGAGGGAAAACAAGTGGAGCGGAAAGCAGGCATCAAAGTGATCCTGCAGTGCTTTGATCCCTTTTCCCCTACACTTGCTAAGCCCCACTTAGATTTCTTAATTTTGGGTTAGAAAAGTGGGGGTGTCTTATACATGGGGGTATCTTATACACGGAAAACTACATTTCACTCTGTATTGTTAGCTTAGGGTAGTTTTGGAGAGTGGCGCTATTATAAATTATTTAATTTCTTTAAAAGATAAATTTGCATTTGTTACTACATTATTAAAACATTTGTTACTACATTATTAAAATTATTTAATTTCTTTAAAAGATAAATTTGCATTTGTTACTACATTATTAAAACATCTTATTAAAAATATTTTTATAAACATATTATTAAAACATATGTATGTGCAGGAGGAGGGATCAATGCCCCAAATTCCTGCCAACAGTCCCAATCCCAGCAGTGGAGTATTAAAGTCTCCCATGGTTCTGAGGCTTCCAAAGGCTTCCCCACATCAAAAAGGGATCCTGAGGGAGTGTGAAACTTTTAATGACCAATAAAATCCCATGGCTGGTGATGTCATCAGTTTGCATGGACATAACTTTATACAAGAGGATTTTGGCCACTGTAGCAGATTAATGTTACAATTTATAGTAAAATGGTTAATGTTAAGGACTTTTTTTTATTTTGTCTGAGGAGTTTTACTGTCATTATCGAGTCCTGATGCATCTTGTGATATCTCATTCTAGCCTTGTAATCAAGAGAAAAGAAATGTTTAACTGTTTGTTTTTTCAGCTCCCAGAGGACGAAGAGGGTGGAAGAAATTTTATGCTGTGCTTAAAGGAACCATCCTGTATTTGCAAAAGGTAAAGGTGGCCAGCCGCACCATTGGATAATGGGTTGTTTACTTACAAGACAGGATGTCTCACCAAAGCAAGGGTTTCTACATAAAGCAAAATACACCGTGGAGAAATGCTAGAAGGCCAGCCACCTAGGAGGAGATGCACTGAGCTGGCTCAGCCTGAAGTGGCCCGCTAGCCAGTATTCTTTCTCTAGCCTTCCATAGAAAAGAGGCTGCCTTGGAAGCTCCCAGGCAGGCTTTGAAAGCAACAGATTCCTTCTGGTTTTTCACTCTGCTGCAATAATGTGAGGAAATTTGGAGAGGAGTGTCATATGTATCCTGTATATAAAGATTTGGATGCTGTCATGTCCCTAAACCCTCAATGAGCAAGCATCAGTGCAAGTGGCTGTTCATGCATAGAACAAAATGTTCATTATCACAATCTTATTAACTTTGCAGGACATGATCTTCTTCCTTTTCTCTATGCGGCATCTGGGGGATTTAATCAAACAAGATGGATCCTTCAGGACATATCACACCTGCAAATGTACCACTCCAACACACTACATTGTACATAATGCTGTATATCTAATAACGTAACATAAATCAAGGTGCAATGATACAAAAAATATTTTCTTAGGGTGTGACTACATCAGCAAGATGAATTAGAGCAATTGCTATCCCAACCTCAGAATAAAGATGTGAGACAAAGATATGGGTTAAATATGGGCCACTTTATTGATAACATCAAATACAAAAATGACAATCCTTTGCCAAAAGAGGGGGCCTGCTGTAGTGTGGAAACAGGTGAAAGGCAGGGGTAAGGTGATACCCCTTGATCCATAAATGGGCGAGTCCCCGGCTCCAAGTTCCAGTGGTCTCCAGACAGTAGGAACCCGGCCAGCCACTAATAAACATCTCCAGACCTCAAGCCATCTTTTGCTGATGGCTGTTGGTCCAGCAGTGGCCCAGCACATCCTCCCACCACAGGCACTGTAATCACATGATCCGCAGTGCTGGGAAGTCAGATGCACTGTTGGATTAACTGATATTACAATTGGAACACACTAAAAATACCTGTTATTTCCGCACCACCTGCCTATGTGACCAAAATTTATCCACCAAAATGCCAACAACCCTCATCCAGTGTGGGATAGGTGAAAAATCCCCGCATCCAAGAGCCAATCAGGATGAAGGTCAAAAATTCCTATCCGGCCCCTAAAAGGCAACCAGAAAAATTCACACTAGAAAAAGGGAGGGCGAGTGGCAGCCTGAAAAAGAAGAGCTTGGTGCGAGGGGGAACGCCCTTTAAGTACTCAGGGCTTTCCCACCCCTCACACAAATTATCGTGAGACTTTAAAGGCTGCCTCGCTCTATCCCGGGTGGATAGCAAGGACGGATCACACTGGCCAAAGGTGATGCCTTGCCAGCGATTGTGGCATTTGGCTTTGCATTGGCTTGACTTAACAGTCTTCTTTGCCACTGCATTTGGTATAGATGACCACACGAAGGCCCCCAGGTTTTTCAATGCCAGGATCCACAATGGTCCCTCAATCCAATGCATTTTCATCTGTGCCCACAGCCCTTTGGTACCACCCTCCTGCTGATCTCCAGTTCTCCTTCCATGGCCTGTTGTCAAGCCATTGGGACTGTGTAAAGAACTGTACAACAGAAGGGGAAAAGGGACAGTTTTGCAAAATTCACCATACACAAACATAGACAGATACCATGGAAATATTGTAGTCTGCTGGAGTTAGCCAGAGTTAATGTAGCAATGCAGTGATAAGGTGATATAGCACTGGACTTAACACTTTGTCTTAAAAAAAAATTAAACAAAAAATACTTAGGTGGGACTAGTGAGAAAGATTGTGTGGTGGGTGATCCCAATGCCAAAAAATAATAATAATAATAATAAATCACATCCTGACTTACTACCTCACCAGAAAACCACACAAAGTCATGTCCCCCAGTTGTTTAATAGAATGAAACTAATGAACCCACAGGCCAAATACCAAACCAATACAGTTAGAAAAATGTAGAAGCTCATAGCATCAAGGGGAAAGATCTGGAGTTGGAGGGAAAATGGAGGGCTAATTTGCATTGATCTTTACATTGTGTGATCATTGGGGTGGGGGGAAAATACTTCACCTTATGCAAATGCAAGAACAAATTGCAAAGTATTTTCCAATGCAGTTGCACACTGCATAGGAACTCAAAGAGGATGAATCTTGGGTGCACAGGATTTTTTGGAGAACAATACCCATAATCCCTGGTGCATCTGATGGGAGCTACCAATCAAAATGTCTGGCATTGCAGAAATTCTGACCTCTGTACTAACTCAGTAGTTTCTAGAGGAGTGCTGACAAATGAATTCTGTGCTCCCATTGTCCTTTGGATCAAAGTCACTATTTGTTGACCTTTTCCCATACAATCTGTATTACCCTTTGGCAGATGCCTCTTGAGTTTTTCCTCTCTCTTTTCATGCTTAATTTATTTTCTTCACTTAAGATGTGTGTTTGTGGGTTTTTTTAAAGGAGAAACTAGATAAACATCTCCCAGGTATAATTTTGGAAGCCAAGTAAATCCCTTTCAGCCTGATTATATCTTGCATTATTGTCCTTATCTTTCTTCTCCTTCACAGGATGAATACAAACCTGACAAAGAACTTTCTGAAGTAGATTTAAAGAATGCCATTCGAATTCACCATGCCTTAGCCACAAAAGCCTCTGATTATAGTAAAAAATCTAATGTGCTGAAGCTGAAGACAGCAGACTGGCGGGTGTTCCTCTTTCAAGCTCCGTAAGTGCCAAAGAATAGCCAGTGCTCGGCTATTTTTGGTTATTTTTGGCCAATAAGAAATATGGTGAAAGTGCCTTTACATGCAGAGTGCCTCCAGGCAGCCAGCCAACATGGCATGCCCACCCTTGCCGCTCACTAGTTTGAATCAGTTGTTCTCTTTCTTATAATGAAACATGGCCTCACTTTTAACCAAAGCTAAAGGGGTAGAAAGCATGGTCTTCTCTTCTTTCCCAGAGAAATCTACACCTAGTTTTCTTACATTCCCCACAGCAGAGTTTCACATCTTTTTAATCACTCTCTAGAGGACAAAACAAATGCAGTTATTGGTTTATTTGTTTGTTCACCATTTGTTTACCGTTCGATAAGGTAGGGGAGGGAGAGAGAGGTTGAAGCTCGTTGCAAGGGGTGCTGCTGAGGCACGGAGAAAAGCTGCAAAAGAAAGAAAGTGATAACTAAATGACTGAAAGAGATATCTGAAATTCCCCTCAGCCTTCTACTAGTCAGTCTGTGATTCCTGCTCTCTATCTAATAAAAATTACCTTGATGCTGGAGGGACCTGCTTTTGTGCTACACAATATCTGAATAATTGTGAAATTATTTCAGCCAGAGATGTGGTGCAATCAATGAGCAGCTTTATGTCACCTTTTCTCCTAGTCCAAGGGTAGTGATAGCTAGCAAGATAGCTTTGTGGTTTAGGTCTCTGGCAGTGGAGCCAGATGCTGGGGGTTTGATTTCCTACCCTGCCTCTTAGCGGAAGGGCTAACCTGGGTGGCCCTGGGCAAGCTGCACAGTTCCAAGATGCTCCCCAGAAGATGGGAATGGTGAACCACTTCTGAGTATTCTCCACCTAAGAAACCCTGAAAAAGGGTTGCCATAAGTCAGAACTGACTGGATGGCACATGATGATTATTAAGGATAGTGACTGGTTTCTCAAATGAGTAATCGGAGACTGTTAACAGGTGCTTTCAATGAGTTTATGCCTCTCATTTGGTAAGGAACCAGGCCACTCTCATAAACGCCATGGCGATTTTCAGATTGAATTGCTAATATTTGCTCTGTGTAGCTTCCTCAAGATGCACATGTTCGTTTAACATTTCCTAAAGAGAGATACTGTACATTCATTGTAGCTAATTTCAAGTGCAGAGGACATACGTTCCTGATATTAGGAGAGATGAACTAGTTACCCATTAATATCTCAGCATGTAAAGATAAGCATCAAAGTTGTAAACTGGGGGGAGAGGCAAATTGTCACGATGTTGCTGAACTGCAACTCCAAACACTGCACATAATAGTCTGTACTACCCAGTTTCCGTGGCAATAAGACCTAACTTGAAAATAAGCCCTAGTATGATTTTTCAGGATGCTTGTAATATAAACTCGACCCCAAAAATAAGCCCCAGTTAAATGAAACCTCACCCTCCACTATTGTGCAGCTTTGTGCAGCAACCAGAAGATGACATGGCTGCATTTGAATAAATGTAGATTGTTGTACATTTAAAAAAAAAAACTTCCCCAGAAAATAAGCCCTGATGCATTTTTGGAGCAAAAATTAATATAAGACCCTGTCTTATTTTCAGGGAAACACAGTAGTTAAGACTAATGGAAATCTGGGGGATGCATTTTGCTAGCCTTGCTCCAAACTGAGGCAAGGATGAATTAACTGTTTACCTCCAGCTTCTATGTGACCCATCAGATGAGGGGTTCCCCTTGGGCCAGAAGCTGCCCATGGTCTGAATATCCAGACCATAACTTTTGCTTCTTTTCACAGGCTGTAAAAGTTCAAAAGGACTACTTGCAAAGAGAAAGATAAAAGCACCAACTCTTTCCTATAAAGATAAAGGCATTCAGCCCCAATCTCTAACCATTTTTTATTTAGGTATCCTTCCTTCCTTCTTTTCTTCCTTCCTTCCACAGAAGCAAAGGAGAAATGCTGTCCTGGATACTGAGAATAAACTTGGTGGCTGCCATTTTTTCTGCCCCTGCCTTTCCAGCTGCTATCTGCTCCATGAAGAAATTCTGCCGTCCTCTATTGCCTTCTTCAACAACTAAGCTCTGTCAGGTAAAATTTCTGTGTGTTTATGTGTAACACTATCTTTCTGTGTGTCGATGAAGAGCAGGAAACTAGCTTTGTAACATTAGAATAGCTGCCAGGCATACATCAGTATTGGTATTCCCCAGGGAAAGTATATAATGTAATTTACATGAACAGTTCTATACTTGAAGAAAGACAATACTAAAGAAAAACTAAAACCTAGCCCATGCAGCACAATGAGCTGATAGAATGAATTTCATATTGTAGGTGGAATGTACTATTGTATTTTTATATGCTCCCCTGTTTAATACTTCCATGTAAAAGGAAAATTGGTGCAGCAGCAGAGAAAGAACTGGGCCATCATCTTCGGTATATTTTTTAAAGTTCTGTTTGCAGGACATCTCCCCACCCCACCCTGGCCTCCACTGAGAAGCATCGGATAATAGCATTCCCCACCTGCAGTCTGAAATAGTTCTGTCCATTCATCCAATTCATTCCTGCCTTTATTGCTACCTAGTCCTGTGCACTTGCACTCTATGGGAAGGATTGGACATTTATATTCCTTAGTAAAGTCATGGGTTGCACTGCCACTGGTAAATCAAAATTAATTTGTTCCTATCAAAGCTGTCATGCCTACTGGGCATTCTAGACAACCTTCAGCTAAGCTCTCCCCAATTCTGTTTTCACCACAGCCAATTTGGAGCTGCATCCCATGTGATGTAATGAGCCACTGTGGGATGATGCTCATGTTTCCATCCCCACACAGAATAAATAAGCTCTGGGACATTGTAGGATATATAAATATTGACATTCAAATCAATGCAAATGGTGTGTGTGGGGAGGGGGTTTGAGGGATCAGGAGACACTTCAGTGTTTCTGGGTCCTGATGGGTCTTAGTAGTTTCCCCCAGAGTGACAGACACTGAGACTAGAACTGTCCCCTTTGAGAGCGCTGGCTGGATATTAAATGTATTTTTAAATAAAAATTTTGAAATGAAGATCAAGAGAAACTGCTTTTTAGATTAGAGCACCCAAAATTCCTTAATCAGGGTAGCCACTGGCTCTATTGGCTGGGGATTCAAGTAGCTGTAGCCCAGAAGGGTTCTGTCCCAAATATCTTTGGAAAAAAGTAATATATCTGCCATCAGGAAATGCCCTGCATATGTCTTAATTTCCTCTGACATCTTTCTCTTTCCACATCACCTCTCCAGGAGGAGCAGCTGCAGTCTCATGAAAATAAAATGAGGCAAATTGCGGATGAGTTAACTGAGCATAAACTCCATCCCGTGGTGAAAGGCCTCAAATCCAAAGAGGCTGAAGAATATCGTTTGAAAGAACATTATTTAATATTTGAGGTGAGACTTCTTCCATCTTGTAGATGACTAACAATCTCTGGGCGAAAGGAAGAAATCAAAACATCCAGAGACCAGTATTCTCTTTGAAATAGCTTCCTTCCAACTCCATGGCTGAAATCCTCTTGTGCAACTTTACACCACACAAGCCAGATGATGCCATCATCCAGCAACCAGAATATTTAAATTCTCTCTTCTGTCTCTCTGTCTCTGTCTCTGTCTCTCTCTCTCTCTCTCTCTCACACACACACACACACACACACACACACACAGAGAGACACACACACACACACACACACACACACACACACACACACACACTTTCAGGTTCTGAGGCTCAGAGCTTTGGAAACCTCAGCACTGAGGAGAGGTGCCTTTAATAGCCAAAAATGGCTGTTGGATTGCCACCACTAATTATGATCTGGTGGCCATTTTCTTTACTGTTAAAAGCTGCCACTGCCAAGCCTTGAGTATCTTACACAGCTGATCTATGGTCGTAATAATAATGTTAAAGTTAAAGTAACAAGTAAATATATATATATTTAGATCTTCTTTAAAATCAGAAGAGGCAAGGAGTCTGGCAGGGAAGAAGGGGTCTGTAGTTATGTTCATGGCTGCGATACAAAGAGCCAAGAGTCTTTGAGAACCTAGGGTTCATTGGAAAACTGGGATATTTGGTGCAATCTTAGCCACACTTCCTGAACGAATGTGCAGACTGGAGTGGCAGTTTAGTTATCTGGTACTTTCCAAATGCTGCAATGCCATTCTGGGCTTTAAAGTGAAGCAATGTATATTCTGAGAGAAGAAAGGCTTAGAAATGCATATTTTAATAATAAATAGTTTTAAAATAGACACTTGTGTATAGATAGTGTTTTGTGTATAGTCTGTATAGCTAAAAGTAAATTTTGTAGAGTCTTTTTAGAAAATACAAATTAATGTGGAAGTACAACAGCATAGACTCATTGGTGAGTAGTGTATGTGAAGGCTACATGGCCAGAAAGAGACAGATTTACCTTTCTCTAGGATTGGCCAAGATCCTTGGTGTACACATATGCCCTTCTGAGGCATGGAGGAATTGGTATGTCTGTGAACTCTTCTATCAACTTTTTTTAAAAAAAAAATCCAAGCATTTTGTTGTTATTTGAAAAGAACATTCATTTGTCTACATGAGCTGTATTGGATGGCTTGAAGGGCAAATTTTAATCTCACTACTGTACTGTGATAGTTCATATTTATACTGTACTTTGAAGTGTAGGCAATACTTTATCTTTCTCAGCAATATTTATAATAAGTATGTGAGGTATGCTTTTTAAAAAATTATCCCCATGCTATCCCTCATCTTATTATTCCATTTATACTCTGTCTAACCATCAGTTAGCACCAGCATATGTTCTAATAACGAAGGTATTAGATGTGGACTCAGGAGACCTGAGTTCAAATCTCTGCTTGGCTCTGGAAGTGTAGTGTACTGGGAGGCAGCAACAGCAAACCACCCTTGGAATTTCTCACTTACCTCAAAAGCCCTATTAGGGCCACCATAAGTGAGAAATGCATTGGCAATATATAATAATAGAGTTTGTGCAGTGATGTAGGAAGGTACTAGACATGCAGTGTCATCAATCATCATTATCACCATGTTATTGAAAAAGAAGTTGGTCTAAAGCTGAGTGACTTACAACAACCAAAAAAAATGGAATCCGTTGTTAACCAGTGCTGAACAGAAATGTCACTAAATTCCTCATGCTTGACTATGTAGGCTGTTTCATGATGAGGAGTTTTCTAACCCACAACATGATACATTCTTTGAGGTCAAGAGTGGGGCAAGCAGTGCTCCCTGCTTTCAAGGCTTATTGAAAATGCTTTTGGAACAGTCTGTCCAAAACTGTCCTCCTTTCTATTTCAGAAATAAAGAAACCAGAAAGTCCAGAAAGAGTAGCTGATTAATAAAATCCATTATTGTGATTTTGTGCAATTTGCACAACTCATGCAATTTATTCAAGTTCCAAGTGAATAAATTCCATTTATTCAAGTATAAATTACCCAATTTGATTAAAACCAAGTGAGGCCATAACAACAGAAAATATCTTGCCTTCTTGCAGAAAAAGAAGGGGGAAATGCAGTTCCTTGTCATCCATGTGAAAATTAGACAAGCTAAGATGTACAGTTGTGCCTATAACTGGAATCACAACACAAATTGTATAAGGAAATACTTAAGTATGACAAAAGCCACCTCTGACTGTGCTACTTTATGCTGACCAATGGTAGCAAAATTAGATGTTCAGGTAGAATGGAAGAACCCTTGCCTATCATTATGAAATCAGAGGAATACCTCCAGTACTACCAGACAATGTCTACACATCTGCTCCTCCTACAGAAATACAAAGGCTTTGAGAACCCCCCTTACGATTTACAACAGTCACTAAGAATGGGTTTCAGCAGTGTCATGGGATGATCACTGAGAAATACTGGTTCATTGTTGACTGCCTTCATCTTCAGAAGCAATATAAAAGTATTTATACTACTGACAGGAGGATCAATGACCAGGTACTGTCCCCCTCCATGTTTACTATAAAGCCAAGAATCTATGAATGATGCAATGTGCCAAAAAGATGAAGCAGAAAAGGAAGATGCTTTCTTCCTCTTTTCCAACCATGATAACCTTCTGACAGTCAGTGATTGGTGCCTTTTTCTGTGTTCCTATATTCTGTATGCTATCTACTGAATGGATGGAACACTTTCAGATTATATATCCCCTCCCTGAACCTGGTTGTTCCCTATTGGTCTCTAGAAACCCAACAGGAAACCAAAGAACATATAAGCATTACTGTTGTGCCCTGTGATGGCGCCAGGACCAGACTGCATTCTGTCTGAGGTACTAGCCAGGGGCCCCTTTTTAAGAAAAATCTTTCTTTGTTGATTAGTATTGCCTCCCAATGGAGTAAGGCTATCAGTTTTCCTATTTTTATGAAGGGTACATGATTTGACCCCAATAACTACCTCCCCCTAAGCCTGCTTTCTATCATCAGGAAAACGTGTTTCCTACCATGCAATTAAACTGAAAGACTGGCTTAACTTCTGCAATATTATTGGCAAGGAACAGATTGGCTTCAAGGAGGGGTCTTCTCTGCTGGCTCACTGCCTGACCCTCTCTCATGCTGCTGAAAAACCCTCTAATTTACCAGCAGGGAAACAATTTGTGGCTTTTACTGACTTCAGTATTTGATTCAATTTTCTGAGAAATCCTGTGGAGGAAACTAGCAGATTTATCCATTTAGCCCATTGTTGTTTTTCATAATATTATTATCTTTCAGACCACTGTCCAAGTGAGATGTGGCTCCAAATGTCTGGGGAGAGGGGCAATGAGACAGCATGTGCTAGCTTCCCCTCCCCCTCCATAGAACCTTTCCTGTGGAGATTTACCTCAGCTATTGAATCTAACAGGTTCTAATATCCAAAAGCTGGCCTCTACAGAGGTTTCTGAACTTCTTTATTCAGACAATATTGTTATCTCAGCCTAGCTTTGGACTGAAATTATTATTGGCTGGACCCCTTTGTTAAGAATTTGATCTTCATTTCTGTGATCCATTCTGGGCACACCTAAATGTGCCTCTGGCACAATTTACCTGAACACGGCAGTAGACTTCTGCTCAATACCAGGCTTGGCTTGGCGTCATGCTCTTGGGAACTGTCTATCCCTAAGTGAAGCTGTAGACTCCTACATTGATTTGATTGTGAGTGATCCATAAATCTTTTGGCAAAAAGATTTGGCCCAAAAGATTTCTTTCCTCGGTCTTTGCAAAGTAGAATTATGTAGGCACAATAGTATCCATGGCAGATCCATGACAAAACAGAGAATCTTGAATGTTGGCAGGCAGAGTCTGTCAGCTTTAGACGAGCAGCTGAGCACTCCTGATTCAACATTTCTCTTAGTAATGATTGCATTTGTTGAAGCAAATTGACAAGAGCCTTCATTTTAGCAAGAGCTAATACCAGTTAAAACACCAGAAAGGCACTTTGTGCTTATGTGGTATTGGTGCCACTGACATTACATTCATAAGGATACAAAGGACAGAATACCCGCTTCATTTCTGGAACAGTTTCCTGGAAGATCTGATGCGGATCATTTGCAAACATTGTCATTTTGTTGTTCATGTTACAAAAAAATGTAAACACTGAGACTGATGTTAAGCTACATATGCTGGATGATTTATAGTGAGTGATTCTGTAATGATTATCTGGCTTCTACTCTGTTTTGGCTGATAAATCAATAAACTGTTGTTATTCTACAGACACGGATAAAAGACAAAATTGTCATGATTAGTGTGAGTTCTCCCTCTTTTTTGTCTCATTCAAATGTGTAGCAGTAGCATACTATCCCTTTTTTCTCACTCACATGCATAAAAAAGGTGTCCCCTTTCTTCCTAAGCCAACTCACTTCTGGCATCTTACTTCATTCCATCATTTTTTCCCTTTGGGGAAAAACTGCACTCTGGAAGGTTCATGCTCCTTGTAATATCCATCCATCCATCCATCCATCCAACCATCCATCCATCCATCCATCCATCCATCCATCCATCCATCCATCCATCCATCCATCCATCCATCCATCCATCCATCCATCCATCCGCTATTTGCCACTGCTAAAGAGGTTACTCTCATTATACAGGCTGACGTATGCAACAGGATATTAATGTGTCACAACAGGATACGCAAAGATGACCTGATAATGTACTTAAAGGGCTGCTTATGCATATAAATAATCTAAATAAATAAACCAAATAATCTAAATAAACCAACAATTGAAACAGCCTGGCACATAAACAGAAATGGCCTTTCTGCAAATTATCGAATGTGTACTGTAGCAAAAACATGCTTAATTCTTTGTGTTCAGCAGCAATCCATTTTGGGATTCTTTTCAGGCAAATCTCAAAGGGACCAAACAGTCGATTTGACCGTTTGCCCTTCCTTAAAGCCAAAACATTTTTCTCTTGTGTGAGCGTGATAGATTTTTTTAAAAAACCACTCAGGTCACACAAAGAGAAATCTCCAGCATTTGGCTCTTATCTTTTCATGTGGACAATCCTGACTCTCCCTCTCAGGCTTTTTGTTCTGTTTTATTGTCCTCCACAGAAAAGCCGCTATGAGACGTACATCAACCTTCTGCATGTGAAGATAAAAGCTGGGACAGATGACCTAGAAAAAATTGAAGCCAACCTCTTCACAATGGAAACTGAAGACAGTTCCTTGAGGAAGACTTACTCTAGTCCTTCTATAAGCCAAGGACAGCTGCCTGCTGTAAACAGTAAAGTCGACAAGGACGTTACGGAACACAGTCCTTCCAGCAACCAGTAAACAGAGGTAGCCAGAAAGTGGTAGCTGGTCCTCCTCAACTGTGACTTAGGAGCACAATTATTTCTCAGATGTACATTAGGTACCTGAGGTAAATACTTTAACAGAAAATGAAAAATGACAAAGAAGTTTTAGTTTACACTAATTATCTCCTCGTGCTTCAGTGTTTCAGGATTGTAAACTGACCAGACTGGGTATGACTACTGTAAAGGTTTCCTTACTGTGCATGCAATAAAAGGAGACGTTTTCCATAGAGGAGCCAGGCCAATCTGTACCCGCTGCTTTTCCTTGTGGATGCCTGGATTTTCCATTAGGAAAAATGGAAATTAGGCAGCTCCTACACTACCTTGGCAATGGAGACACTACCAAATCTGTTTCTGTTGTGTGTTTTTAACCATAGTATACAGGTCAGGGGATGCAAGGGCAGTAGATGTGTAGACTTTCTACAGACTTCAACACTAACAGGTGCTGGACAGGGCAGAATATACTTTGAATCAGATGACCACTGTCACATCAGCTCCATAAGAGACACGTGCATCACCATAACTGCATTACCTGCCCTACTGCCAAAACTTAGATCCAGTTTTAAAACTCAGTGCCATATAGATACTTTGTAAAAAAATAATAATGTATCCCAAAAATACTAGCTGGAAAAGAAAAAAAAATCTTTAACATACAGGGTTCTTAGCAGTGCTAAGTAATGTTTTTGAATTGTAGTAGCTTAATTATCTTTTTCCCCCCTTCCCATTTTGTAACAAAATCCCATCCAGCTTTGCTACAATCCAGGCTCTGCTGTTGCTATGCATTGAACCGCCATAAATAGCGAATTCACTACTGCTGCTGCTGCTGCTTCTCTCTCTTGTGCCCATTCCTTCTGCTTCTGCTTCCTGACATTCGAGCAACCGCAAGCCAAGCTACAAGTGTGGGGGAGGGTGGGGAATGGAGCTGCTGATCACAGATAGCTGTACATATTCTTTGCTGTCAGCATAAATATGCTCACTTAATGGGATGTTGTGCTTCTGTTCCTTTTTTTGGCTGTAAGAGAAATGATTCCGCTGCATTTTCAAGACCTCCAGCACTTTATTTACTGGTTGATTCATCTTCATCTTCTTTTCTAGACATGTTCACAGTTAATCAAGTTCCAGTTTTAAAGGATCTTGTAGCTGCTAATTACAGCGATTTACAGTTTATATTTTTGCAGCTTTTTAAAATGAAGTTAATAAAGAGATTTCTTTGGATTCTCGCTGCTTTTGAGGATTTATAAATGATTGCGTTTCCATGTTTCTTACCACTGAGAAGCGGTCACCCTGTTTTGCCACCCCCTTTTTTAATCTCTTTGGGTTTTTTTTGTACAGTTTGATAGTTTTATTTGAAAGGATGCACTAAGAATCATGTACAAATAAATAAATGATGACGAACCTGTTAATAAAGAAGTTTAATTCAAAGCTGTGCTTGGTGTTTCTTTGGATTACTTTTAATTCAGCAGAACCCATATGGGCTGAATTACCCAAAGTGGAGAAAGATATAAATGAATAGGTTTGTTCAACATGGGCTGAGGAACCTCAAGACATTCTTTAGATCCAGCATTTCTTTCAATCCACCTACATCCGATACAGTTGATGCCTATGACAGTGAGAACGGGGATAAACTGTAACATTCTTAAACCCCACGCTTCTTTAAGAAATAATCAAACATGTTTCCAAAACCTTGAAGGAACTTTTCAAAAGCCTTTATAAACCTTCAAAAGGATCTTCTGGATTTCTTTTTAAAATTTCCTCAGCAGGTTCCTGCTAATTTTTTTTTCATTTGGGTTTTTTTCCTTTCCTTTTGTTTCCCTTGTGTAGGGGTGTTTTGTTTGTCTGTTTGAATGGAATAGTACTAAACTGAAAGCTCCCAACACCACAGTTATCAGCTACTAATCTACTTCAGAAATTAGCCTCCCCCTCCATCTTATGAATATGAAACTCACAACAGATATATGATTGCAGCTTAACTCTCTCTTTCGGCTGCCATGCTAAATCCACTGGCTTTGAAGTAAATCCCAATGAGCACGTCAGGATTTACTTTTCAGTAGATGGGCTGAAATCCTGTTGCTTAACATAGTAAGTCACAACTAGAGTAGGCCCATTTAATCAATGGAACATATGGAGGAGATGACTCACCAAATCCCCACTAATTCAACAGGCCTACTCCAGTTGCAAATTCCTATGCTAAGTAATGGGATTTGCGCCATAAATAGAATTGTGTGAAGTATAATCTTCCATATAGGGAAGAATATGGTCTGAAATGGGGAGGGGGAAGAAAAGAGTTGTACAGTCCTCGTACACAATCCAAGAACAAAGGAAGGTAATTGCTTTATGAGACCCCTGGGGGAATAAATCACAAACATGCTAGCTTTCCTTCTGTATCAGTCTTCATCACCACAGCCTCTAAGATGGTGTTCAAAACAAAACAAAACATCCCTTTAAAGGGGTCCAGAAATCACAACCAATGTGCAGGGTAGGCTCCTTTGTTAAAACAGGGACTGCAGGTTGAAGTCAGAGCTACAGCTTCACCTCTAGTATTGACTGGAATGTGTCTCCCAATCCTGCTTGACAAACAGCTGCTAGTCATTCAGCATTTTAATTGTCTAATAAAGGTACCCCTTACCCTTGCCTTTAGCCCAGATTGTGTAAATGAAAGAGCCTCCCATTAAAGCTAGGAAAGATTTTACAATCCTTTCTATTTCATCCTATGGAGTCAATTTCCTGGATAGGATTTATATTGACAGAGCGTGGGAATTTAGTAGCTTAAACACCTCTATCTACACAGTGGATAAAAATTCAGAGACCTACAGAGCACAATTAGCTTCAGTTCTCCCCTTTATTGCTTAGTTCTCCTCAACTGGCACTTACAATCACAAAACCTCACTCAGAGACTCTGGTAAGAGAAATAATAAGTTGTTCCATCTTACTCACAGCTTTTCATAGATTATAAACAAACCAGATTCTGTACAAAAATAGTGACTGGTTACATGAACAGAACTTAATTGATTAACTAGCGTAATGACTGCACACATTACATGGCTGGCAGATGTCTTCTAACTATCCACAGAGTATATTGCTCTAACTGTTTTCAGACTATGTATTCGCGAAGGCTTTCACGGCCAGGATCTAAAGGTTGTTGTGGGTTTTTCGGGCTCTTTGGCCGTGTTCTGAAGGTTGTTCTTCCTAATAGGATACTGAAGAGGACACTGAAGATGCCGGCCACAGAGACTGTCGAAACGTTAGGAAGAACAACCTTCAGAACACGGCCAAAGAGCCCAAAAAACCCATAACAACCTGTTTTCAGACTGTCTGACTGAAAAAGAGCAGGAAAAGAACTCCTGGATAGAGGGGCTTGACTTTCTTCAAAATTTTTACGCAGAGAGGGAACAGGACACTGAAGAGGACACTGAAGATGCCGGCCACAGAGACTGTCGAAACGTTAGGAAGAACAACCTTCAGAACACGGCCAAAGAGCCCAAAAAACCCATAACAACCTGTTTTCAGACTGTCTGACTGAAAAAGAGCAGGAAAAGAACTCCTGGATAGAGGGGCTTGACTTTCTTCAAAATTTTTACGCAGAGAGGGAACAATTGGTCACTGATGTATTGATTGACAGTAATCAGTTGTTCCCTCTCTGCCTCAGAATTTTGAAGAATACGTGCCTCTGTATTCCAGAGTTCTTTTCCCACTCTTTTTTAGTCAGACAGTCTGAAGATAGTTTAAAAGTTGCAGTCTGTGGACAGTTAGAATCTAGTCATGTAGTGAGTCGGTATGCAGCTCGTGTAACCAGTTATTTTTTATACATAACATTGTTTTTGATCTATGAAGGACTGTGAGTAAAATGGAACTTTTTATTATTACTCTTACCAGTGAATCTGAGTGAATTATTGAGATAGTGAGTTCCAGTTGGGGGAAATAACATTAACAATTTACTGTGCTTGAAACGCCTAGACTCTCTTTCTTCAATATTTCTATGACGTTTTCCCATATACCTTATCACCACTTTTTCCTTAGGATGATTTGATAAACAGATCTTTTCATTTGCTTTGTGTACTATATTTGCTATCTTTGATATCACTTTGCTACTAGAATTAAATTTTCTGGCCATTAAATATACATGCAATTGCCTTTTTAAAAAGATGTGACCTTATGCCAGTCTATTTGTGATGACTTCCTATCTGATAAGTAATAATTCTCATCTCATAAGGAGTTGGATCCAGGATCTGCCTGGTATGGGCAGAAAGGATTGGCTCAAGGAAGACAATTCCAACGCCCCCCCCCCGGGATCTCCACTCCCCACACCACTGTTGACCCCATTCAGCTGGGTCCCCCAGTACACTGTAGCCTTTCCAGGGGGCTTGAGGGGCAGGGGCAGGGAGGAGCATGTTAGTAGGAAAGTCCATTTCAGCAAATTCAGAGGGATGCCTCTGCCCCCTACTCTGGATCCACCCTACCCATCGTCCTGTGACCTGGTTTTATGGCTGTGGGTACATGGAGTACCAGATGTACTCTACCTGCCTTCGCTCTTGCTTTATTCATCTTGACTCCTGTTCTCATTATGACCTCCACTAACTTCAAATGCTTCCCCAGCTACCCCTTCCCACATGGCCACCTTTGCCATGGGAGAAGTGCCTAGCCTCCCTGCTTTTTGAAATCTAGGGAGATGCCTGGCTGTTAGAAAAGCATCCTCCAGAGATCCTTCAGGCATTCTCTTCCTCTTTCACAAATTCTCAGGTTTCAAAGACAGCGCAGGTTCTTGACAACGGCATGCCTCGATTTCTCTCACCCTCCCAGGTCCCCCTCCTCCCTCAACTTCCTTTTCCAATCTGGGAAAAATGTGCACTTGCTCTGCCTCAGCTGCAGGGCCCTCGAATGCCAGCTATCTTTTGGCAGGCTCTTTCCCCCAGACTTTCTGGCACCAAGGAAACTGGTGCTCATGTTCCCTCCCAGTTAGGCACCCACAGAAGTCTCTGCTTTCTTCTAGCTGCCTAGCCGGTGGGACAAGCCAATTATTCTGTTCCCCAGAGTATCAGGAGAGAAACCCCATAATTGCAGGAACAAACATTTTCTCTGGGCATCTCATTCATCATGTTCTGGATAGGAAGCGGCATGCAAATGTCTGTGAGTTGCTTTACAGGATCTGTGACCAAGGGCTTTACCGTGTTGCAGTTTCATTGAAATTCTCTTCTAAAATATCCAGAGCTGGAAAAAGGAGGTTGGTTTGTATTGGGAAAGCAGGCTTGAGTCCCACCTTTCACACTAAAAAAGGCAAACAATTTCTAGGTAGGATGTGAACATGGCATGCATTGGTGGAAAAAGGCAAGGAATTCTGTTCTCCTTCTTTGCCCCTTCAACCTAACACTAAAACTCTGGTTAAGTTCTGTCTAGAAAGACCAATTCCTGCATCTAAAGCAATGGTTCTGTATCTTGTGCCTCCATGGACTAAAACTCCCAGAAGCCTTCACCACTAGCTGTGATGGCCGTGATTCCTCAGAGTTGTAGTCCAAGAACACTTGAAGTGGGGAAGCACAGATCAAAAACAACTCTGGACAGTCTCTAAGCAGTTTGAAAGGCTGGGCTGCTCAGCTTCTAGGAACACCAGCAGAAACAAGGAGAAATTCTCCTTGGATTATTTCAGAATTTGTGGGCTATAGACTGATTTGTCTCACCCAACCACGTTATTTTTTAAAAAATGACTCTGCAGTAGTGCTTTCAGCCCACTACTGATTCTAGTGTGTTCTTGAAGCACCACACAAAGTAAGTGCTTCTCTCCATGCCTGAAAGTCTCGAACCCCCTTCCATGTTAGCTCCTAAATCCTGCCCCACTACTCCATTCTTCACCCCCACTCCCCAATGGAACGAGTGACATCGTTCAGCAGCAACACCACTGGTTAGGAGGCCTCTTGTTGGTGGCCTTTTTCTAAGCACTCATCTATACCATCATAATTCTTCTATTTTTGCTTCTTCTTCTCCTCCCACACATCGAAAACAGCCCTGGCTTCTTAATGCTTCCCACTTTAGACACATCTGGACATTTTGCCAGAGATGGATGATTGACATTTATGGGGGAAGTGGTGAATGCAAGTAAATAAGCAGGGAAAAATTCGCAATCCAGGACTTAGTTGTTGTTGAGTATGCAAAAAAAAAAAAAAGTACTTCAGAGACCTGGCTAAGACCTGAGGAGTAAATTTCTCCCAGGTCTGCCCCCCCTACTCCAATCACCTGCCAGTGCACGAAGCTGTACCTGGAACATCCCTGACAAATGACTGTCCAGCCTCTGTTTAAAAACCTCCAGTGCAGAAGAGCCTGCTGCTCTTGAGTGCTATGGCACCCTTATTTTCAAGTTAGTGAAGAAACATACACACTGTCCACTTTCTATAATTAATAA